TTGGGGTTTTAGGGTTTAGGGCTCAGGGGTTTCTAGGTGTACCGTTTGTTTCTCCCATAAGAGCACTATGAAGCCCTAGACCTCGTCTAGAACAAAGCCCTGGGCCACCTTCTTGAGTCCGCTTTTGGGAGCGCTACAAAAAACCTTGACCACCCCCAAAAGAAATCCCAAAAGAAACCTAAAAGAACCAAGAGCCCTAAAGCCCAAAAACCCTTAAAGGTAACCCTTTTTCAACCTTGTAGAATCTGAAAAAAACCTACGGACTATACCCATAATAAGGAACCCCCAAAACCCTATGCTAACTGTTCGTAGAATTTGAAAGAAACCTAAAAGAGCCCCTGGAATTGCGGGGCAACCGGGATGCAGTGGTCTTTCCGGCTGGCTGCGCCTCCGCAGGACCCCATGGTTTTGGGGCCTTATGACTTTGGAGTTTAGGGTCTAGGGCTTAGGGTTTGGAGTTTAGGGTTTAGGGTTTAGGGTTTAGGGGCGCTACGGGTAGGGAATTCGGGTTTGGGGTGTCTCCATCAAGGGGCATGCTGGATTACCAAAGCACCCAAACGGGCGACCCGAACTGTAGGTCCCCTAGCGCGCCGCCCTAAACTCGACCTCTGCGTAGGGTTTAGGGTTTAGGGTTTAAGGCTTAGGGTTGAAGGCTTAGGGTCCAGGGATTAGGGTTTAGGGTTTAAGGCTTAGGGTTGAAGGTTTAGGGTTGAGGGTTTAAGGAGGTTTGGCTTCTTTGATTCTCTGGCACGCTTTGGCTTCCTATGTTTTGAGAAGCGGGGTGGCTGTGGCAGGACTCTTCGTTTCTTGAGACAACTCGGGTGGGGAGGGGCGCGAGACTTCCGCAGACCCTGGGTGCCTCTAGAGGGGTTTGGGTTTAGGGTTTAGGGTTTAGTGTTTAGGCGTTTGGCGGAAGCAGTGTCTATACTCTGCTGCCAGACATGGGTTTTGTGGTTGCGCCCGCCCGCGGCGCTGTCAGCGGTGATTTTCCGGGGAGAGCCGATCCTTCTGCCGGGTGATACTCGACTACCTGTGCTGCTGGAGTGCTTGGCCGACAAAATCGGGGGAGGACCATTCCTTTGTTTCGTTTGGTGGGTGTGTCTGTGTGTCCGTGTGTGTTAGGGGGTTGAGGACTATATGTTTGTTGTGCAGCTTCGTTGTGGTGACGGCCCTTCCGATCCTCTGCTGTGTGCTGCCCGAGGCCCTTGCCGAGCTGGGTTATCTACTCGTTCCTCTGCAAGTCCTCTTTGGGATTCTTCGCTCCGGAGGGCGTGGATCCTCTGGCGCAGGAAGCTCAGTGTGCGGGTCTTGGTGGTCACGCTGCTCTTCGGACGACATGGCGGCGTGCTGCATTGCAAGGAGCTTGGCGTGGATGCGCTTGTTGTGTCGTCGCCCTCGGCAGTAGCACCTCGTGGGCGTGCACTCGCTGTTTTGGAGCTGCAGTCGTCCTTTTATGTCTGCGGGCAGGTGTTTCAGCAGTTCGTCCACGCCGATGTGGTTGAACTCCAGTCTTAGCCAGGAACAGACTTTGCTGACCTCGGTGCCGATGCCGTTGGATCTGGTGCTGCCAGGCTGGAGAAGCAGGGCTCTTGTTTCTGCCGTGGAGAGTCGGTTGTGGCTCAGGTGCAGCTCTTGCAAGGTGTCGGAATCCGCGAGTGCTTGTAAGCTCCGTATGTCGTTGTGGTGCAGATATACCGCCGCGACACTGCCCCCGACGGACTGAAGGACTTCGGCTGCGTCGTGTTCGTTGAGGAAGTTGTGCTCCAGGTGCACTCGCAGCAGGGCCCGCGGCTGTTGCCAGTGGCGTAGGGCTCGGATCCAGCGCCGCACGTCTTGCTCTGTCTGCATGGCTTCCGCGAGATACACCAGGCCGTTCGGTCGCAGGCGCTCGGATTCCGACGATGTTAGAGAGCTCATGGCTGGACGGGCTGCCGGATGGACTGTGCGTCGCTAGTTGCTTTACTTGAGCCACCCAATGCTGTCCGCGATGGTGTCTCCTGCACGGGGGCCTGCGAGTGGTCTCTGTGCCCTGCTGCCTCTGGATGATGGCGCATGAGATTTTGCGAGCGAGTGCCAAAACTTGGTCGTGGAGACACGGCATTGTTTACCGCTTCGATGTCTGACCCTGTCAGTGGTGGCTGGAGAGTTCGACCGAGATGCACGTCGTGCGCCAGCGCTTCTCTCCACAGCCTGGATCTTCGACTGTCTGCATTGCCTCGGCCAGGGTTAGACTCCAGTCCAGGCGCAGCTCGATGCAGGCTTCGTCTTCGTAGTAGGCATAGACCGGGATGCCCATCTTCTCGGGGTCTTCAATGCCTCTTCTCCGTTTCTGTGCTTGAGGTGGGACCGGCAAGACGGCCCTGCGCCGCTTGCCTGTCTGGTGGCAGTGGAACGAAACCGATTCCACCTGAGTTGTCGGGTTGTCGAGGTGCAGATTCCCGCGACTGAGGATCTTACTCACGGGGTATCGCGGTTTGAGTGGTGGTAAGTCTCGGTGCTTGCCATCGGCATCCGAGTGGATGGGCCCGTCGGCGTTCATGTCCATTTCCTCACAATCTTCATTGTCGTCATCTTCGCAGTCGTCGTATCGGGCCTCGTTCATCACCCTCAGTAGGCGCAGGATGTCGGTGGGCTCCGCGTGCGCGCCGCGCTGCTCCATGTCTTCCCAGGTGCCGTAGATTACACACAAGCCTTTCGTCTGGTGCAAAGAAAACTGTGCCAACGTGGTAAGTCGTGCATCTGGGATGCTGCCCTGTGCCCCGCATCTGTGGGAGCAAAATCTTCATCGAGTCCCTTCAAGTCCTCGAATGTGCAGTGGAAACATGAACATTAGCAAGAGTTAGCCGTGGGGCAATCGTGGTCTGCACTCCGATTCGTTCCTTGGTCGTCGATGCAATGCCACATAAGAGGAGAAGTCGCAGGAACTGACAAGCTAGGGTTTAGGGCTTAGGGGTTTAAGGGTTCAGGGTTTGTGGTTTGGGGTTT